GGAAACTAGGACTAGGAATCAGAACAATTGAGTTCTAGTACAGGCCCTATTATTAACTATATCACCTTGGGAAAATTACTTGACTTCTTGGGATCTAAATGTTCTCCTCTGTAAATTGAGAATCCTTAACCATATGATCTCCCTCTCTCTCTCTTTTTTTTTTTTGAAATGGAGTCTCGCTTTGCTGCCCATGCTAGAGTGCAGTGGTATGATCTCAGCTCACTGCAACCTCCGTCTCCTGGGTTCAAGTGATTCTGCTGCCTCAGCCTCATGAGTAAATGGGATTGCATGTGTGCACCACTGCTCCAGCTAATTTTTGTATTTTTATTAGAGACGGGTTTCACCATGTTGGCCAGGCTAGTCTCAAATTCCTAAACTCAAGTGGTCTGCCTGCCTTGGCCTCCAAAAGTGGTGGGATTACAGGCGTGAGCCGCTCTGTCCGGCCCTGAACCATATGATGTCTAGAATTCAGTTATATACATAAATTCACATTAGCACAGGCATATCTGTTGAGTTTTGCACATCTTCACACTCCTGAATAGTGAAGTATTGGTGGACAACATTCCTATCACCATTGGGCTGAGAGGTTGTGAGGAAGAGCTAAATATGGTAGGTGAGTGGTACTGTCTGATTTGGTAAAGTTTTCCTAGACAGATAACTGTTGTTGAAGATTTTTCCAAAATTGTATTTTTTAGTATCTAGTGTAATAATCTATGGACTTTGTGATGGCATAGATAGATGGAGCACAAAAGAGAATGAAGATCCACTTGGTCTTTATCACAGTTCAGAGCTTCTTTGATCTGATTTTGTTGTGGAGACAGGGTTATTTTTTGTAGAGACAGGATATCACTGTGTTGCCCAGGCTAGTCTCAAACTCCCAAGCTCCAGCAATTCGCCTACCTTGGCCTCCCAAAGTGCTCGAATTACAGGTGTGAGCCACTACATCCGGCCTAGATAACATTTTTCAAAAAGTTTTGTGTGAGAAAGAGACCAGATAATTCAGGTCGCTGATTAAAGGGAACATAAATGCTTCACATCTTTATTGGTCCAAGCAAATATTTATTCATCCTTCCCAACTGCCTGCTTCTCTTAGCAGAGGAAGTGATTAGGACAGAGGGGCTCCATTGACTTCCTTGGGTTTTGTGATTTTTACTATTTCCTTAGCATGATGACATGATTCTCAGCTCCTCTGAGGTATTATCCTGTTGGCTCTTTGAAGCTTTCTGTACATTAGTTCCTAGATGCCATGGTACAATGCTGCCACCTTGGAACAGGAGTAGAAATTACAAACAAATTGATCTGAGTGCTTGCTGTTCTCATTAGTGTCACAAGATGGTAAAAGAGCTCACTTTTCCCAAAGGAGACTTTCTGCTTGGCCAAAGACAGAAATCCAACAATTTTTTTTAACCACCTCTCCACCCTATCCTTTTCTTTTGTAACTTTTTTTTTTTTT